ATTACAACCGATAACCAAGAATCCACTGTAATATGCCTTTTATTATTAATTTTGGCATCTTGATTGTGCTTCTAGGTTATCTATCGTGTTTCTGATATCAAGTTGGAATAAATGTGATAGATAACCTTTATTACTAATATTAGCGTAATTACACAACAACGTATTCGTGCCACTGCTAGTATCCGGCTATCAAGACAACTCATCCAATACTGAATACTCCTTCTGCTAGCCCCTTCCTCTCCCTTTTCGTATTTAGGCCAACATTCTGGAATGGATAACGGCTGATATTCAGGGTTCCACTGTATTTGAAATGTCCGTATTAGCGGAACACAGTAAGGCAGAACACTGTAAAGCGGGGCCCTACTGTACTTGATCTTACTTTTGACCTCAGGGAGCTCATATGTCTTTAACAGTAGAGTATTTGCTTTTTCCAGTGCAGTGGACCCTCGGTTATCAGCCGTAATCCGTTCCAGAAGCTCGACCTAAAACCAAAATGGCCGAAAACTGAAATAATATTTCCACTAAGAATTAATGTAATTACAAATAATCCGTTCCAGACAAAAATATTCACAAAAAATAATTTTTTTAACCCTTTGACTGTCGCAACCCCCAATCCTGAGGTGTCTCCTGGTGTCGCAAAATTTAAAAAAAAAAAATTATTTTTTCTTATGAAATGATAGAGAATCTTTTCCCGATTGTAATGACACCAAAAAAACGAAATTTGATGGAAAACTGACGGAATTATGCTCTCGCGAAGTTAGTGACCTCGGCGCTGTTTACAAATCGGCGATTTCGCCCACTTTGAGCCCTATTTTCGGCTAATTCCATTTTCCAGTCGCCCAAACTCATAGCTATTTCTTTAGAACTCCATTTTTTCTATCGATTGAGTACAAGAAACTGCCCATTTACCGATTTCAACTACCTAATAATGTGGTCAGAAATTTGCAATTTGGCTAATTTAACGAAAACTAAAAAATAGGACAATTTCAAAATAAGGTCCAGAATGAACAATGCAGACATTCCTGGCTCTAAAATAACATTTTCTTTGCTCATCAGTCATGTCTCCAGGCCTCTCTGATATTACTCTTGCTTTCTATTTTGAATTTTTATTCAAACAAAAAATAGAAGACTTACTATTACGTATGCAGACTACTGCAATACTGTAATAATTGCATAAATAACATCAACCCATTCATGACTGCATATTAGAATGGCTAGTTGGACATTTATTGGACAATGGCATCATTTGTTTACTTTTGAACATTGGCAAAAATCAAACATTTCCCCTACTTTGAGCTCCATTTCTAGGTTCTTTTTATAGTAAAATCAATCAAAATCATCTCTATTTCTATAATATGTTTTCCATGCTTTCAAATGAGACCAAGAAAACGAGAATACAACCATAAATACTATACGAAAATAGACCACAAATTCGGGATTTTAATTAAAAAAAACAGCCAGTTTTTTTCTCATTATGCACTGTGTGCTCCAGGATTTTTTTTATATGGTGCACACTGACCACACAGACCCATTCTCTCACATGTGGGCCTACCAGCTTTCTCCTGCTTGATTTGAAGCCGCTAGAATTTATGAGTATATATATACGTCAAACACGGTACCTCGTAAGACGTACAGTGGACCACCGCATAATGATTACCTCCGAATGCGACCAATTATGTAAGTGTATTTATGTAAGTGCATTTGTACGTGTATGTTTGGGGGTCTGAAATGGACTAATCTACTTCACAATATTCCTTATGGGAACAAATTCTGTCAGTACTGGCACCTGAACATACTTCCGGAGTGAAAAAATATCGTTAACCGGGGGTCCACTGTATATATACAGCTGCGACAGTCAAAGGGTTAACAATTAAATCAGTATTACATACCTTCATTGAAGACTAATGCTGGCTTCTGGAATGCCTCCTACACTTCTGCATGCCTGCTACACTTCCTGCATGCCTGCTACACTTCCTGCATGTCTGATACACTCCCAGCATGCCTGCTACATTACTTGCATACCTGTTCCACTCCCTGCATGCCTATTACACTCCTTGCATGCCTGCTACACTTCCTGCATGCCTGCTACACTTCCTGCATGCCTGCTACACTCCCAGCATGCCTGCTACACTCCCAGCATGCCTGCTTCACTCCCAGCATGCCTGCTACACTCCTTGCATGTCTGTTCCACTCCCTGCATGCCTGTCACACTCCTCACATGCCTGCTACACTTCCTGCATGCCTGCTACACTTCCTGCATGCCTGCTACACTCCTTGCATGTCTGTTCCACTCCCTGCATGCCTGTCACACTCCTCACATGCCTGCTACACTTCCTGCATGCCTACTACACTTCCTGCATGCCTGCTACACTTCCTGCATGCCTGCTACACTTCCTGCATGCCTGCAACACTTCCTGCATGCCTGCAACACTTCCTGCATGCCTGCTACACTTCCTGCATGCCTGCTACACTTCCTGCATGCCTGCTACACTCCCTGCATGCCTGTTACACTCCTTGCATGCCTGTTACACTCCCTGCATGTCTGCTACACTCCCTGCATGCCTGCTACACTTCCTGCATGCCTGCTACACTTCCTGCATGCCTGCTACACTCCCTGCATGCCTGTTACACTCCTTGCATGCCTGTTACACTCCCTGCATGTCTGCTACACTCCCTGCATGCCTGTTACACTCCTTGTATCCCTGTTACATTTCCTGCATGCCTGTTACACTCCCTGCCTTCCTGCTACACTCCCTGCATGCTGTTACACTCACTGCATGCCTGCTACACTCCCTGCATGCCTGCTATACTCCCTGCATGCCTGCTACACTCCCTGCAAGCCTGCTACATTCCATGCATGCCTACTACACTCTCTGCATGCCTGCTACACTTCATGCTTAACCCTTTGAGGGTCGACAGGCCCTCTCCGAAACTCGTTCTCAGGGTCGGCCAAATTTAAAAAAAAAAAATTATTTTCTCTTATGAAAAGATAGAGAATCTTTCCCCATCATAAAGACACCAAAAGTTTGAAATTTGATAGAAAACTTACGAAATTATGCTCTCGCAAAGTTAGCGGTCTCCGCGATGTTTACGCATCGGCGATTTTGCCCACTTTGAGCCCCATTTTCGGCCAATTTCGCTGTACTAGTCGACAAAAAACATGAATATTTCGCTAGAACTCCATTTTTTCTATCGAATGGGTGCAAGAAACCACCCATTTATGAAATTCAACTATCCAGTACAGTGGTCAGAATTTAGCAATTTTGCCAATTTCACACAAATTTCAAAAGATGCCAATTTCCGAATAGGGTCCAGAATAAACAAGAAAGACATTCCTGGCACTAAAATGACATTTCCTCTGTTCATTAGTCACGTCTCAAGGCCCCTCATATTCTTTTGCTTTCCATTTTGAATTTTTATTCTCACAAAAAATATAAGATTTACTGTTATGCAGACTACTGCATTAGTGTAAAAAATGGTATAAATATTATTGGTGCACTTGTGAAAGAATATTAGACTCACCAGTTGACGTGTATTGCACGCTTGGCATGATTTGTTTACTTTTGAAGTTTGGTAAAAATCGAACATTTCTGCTACTTTGAGCTCAATTTCAAGGCACCTTTCATTGTAAAACCAGCCAAAATCATCTCAATTTCTGTAATATGTCTTCCATTCTATAAAATGAGACCAAGAAAACTAGAATACATCAATAAATACCATACGAAAATACACTGCAAAGTCGCTGATTTATTCCAAAAAAATGGTCAAAGTTTTTTTTTTCTCATTATGCACTGTGTGCTGCAGGATTTTTTTTAGACTGTGCACACTGACCACACAGACCCATTCTTTCATATGAAGGCCTACCAGCTTTCTCCCACTAGATTTGAGGCCGCTAGAATTTATGCGTACTAGTACGTCAAAAACCCCTACACGTAAGACATACTAGTACGACGAAAACCCTCAAAGGGTTAAATTCCATGGTGTTTCTCACTTTCATTACCACAGGAACTTTACTAGGAACTTTCTTTGGAGTCATGGTTACTCATTTCACAGTTGCACTGCAAAAAAAACACAAAAAACAATGGAAAACGAGTGACATGTTTGGATGTATGAGCAGAAGCTTCCTCACACACCAAAAGACATAGCCAAACTGACGTGCAAGCGGCCCCAGCCAGCGGACGGACGCATCCCAAATGACCGATCACTGAATTAACAGCCGATAACTGGGCACCGAAAAACCGGCCAATCACTGAGTTGGCTGATAACTGGGGGTCCACTGTATACCTGATCAAGTTCAGCCATATATGATACACTGTAGTAAAGGCTTCTCCTCTTTCCAGTGTCCTTTTTTATCACGGAAGAAAAAACAAGACTGTAGATTATGGAGTGGTTATTAAGTTTTGACATGTTTTACCAGGGCATGAACAATATTTGAGTAAAACCTAGAAAAGCAATTAGGTTTTACCTAACCAACTCTGCCAAACAACCACTGCCAGACATCATTAGAAACCTTCACTTAATGAATTTCATATAAATAAGAAAAAGTTGCTTTTTAAAGATCATATTAGAAAATGAAGGTGCATATGTGTGTGTATCTGTGTGAAGGGGAACAAGGGCAAAGGAGGAGATGAATCTTGGTCTATCTTCCATAACCTTGGTAATACAGTGGTACCCCAAGTTTCGAACAGCTCCCAACTCGAACAGTTATGTAAGTGTATTTTTGGGGGTCTCAAACTGACTAATCTAATTTACATTATTCCTTATGGGAACAAATTCGTTTGGTATCAGCACTCAAACAGCCTTCTGGAACGAATTAAGTTCGTAACTCGAGGTGCCACTGTAACTAAAATAAAACTACAGCAATTTATTTTTTTATTCCAAGTGACTTGTGCATTTTCATGGGTTCCAATGAAATATTTCCTGGAGAACTGATGCAAAGCATCTTCTCAAGAGCCTCTCAACTGAATAATTTTGAAAGAAAAATGTTAAGAGTATTTTACCTGGAAGACAGCTTCTGGAATGGTAATGTTAACCCATGCAATCAACTCGTCATCTGTTAAAGTTCGTTCGTCAAAGATTTCGACATGGACAGTATTAACCCCCTTTGGAAGATGGTACCTGAAAAATAATATTTAATTTAAAAAACACTTGCAAAATATTTAACTGTCACTTATGATTTTTTTTTTTTTTGTAAAAAGTAACATCTTACTTACATAAATTTAACAAAAGAGCAAGACGTTACAGGAGCACAAAGTAATAGTGTCTCATTTATTGAATTATGCTACCTGAAAAATTACAAGCCTGAGCGCCTCATGCTAGTAAGAGGAATGGCAACAATGAGCCAATCACATATGAAATATTTTTTATTATTTTTTTATTATCACACCGGCCGATTCCCACCAAGGCAGGGTGGCCCGAAAAAGAAAAACTTTCACCATCATTCACTCCATCACTGTCTTGCCAGAAGGGTGCTTTACACTACAGTTTTTAAACTGCAACATTAACACCCCTCCTTCAGAGTGCAGGCACTGTACTTCCCATCTCCAGGACTCAAGTCCGGCCTGCCGGTTTCCCTGAATCCCTTCATAAATGTTACTTTGCTCACACTCCAACAGCACGTCAAGTATTAAAAACCATTTGTCTCCATTCACTCCTATCAAACACGCTCACGCATGCCTGCTGGAAGTCCAAGCCCCTCGCACACAAAACCTCCTTTACCCCCTCCCTCCAACCCTTCCTAGGCCGACCCCTACCCCGCCTTCCTTCCACTACAGACTGATACACTCTTGAAGTCATTCTGTTTCGCTCCATTCTCTCTACATGTCCGAACCACCTCAACAACCCTTCCTCAGCCCTCTGGACAACAGTTTTGGTAATCCCGCACCTCCTCCTAACTTCCAAACTACGAATTCTCTGCATTATATTCACACCACACATTGCCCTCAGACATGACATCTCCACTACCTCCAGCCTTCTCCTCGCTGCAACATTCATCACCCACGCTTCACACCCATATAAGAGCGTTGGTAAAACTATACTCTCATACATACAATAATATTTTGGACTGATTTCAGAACTAAAAGGAACTCATTTTAGAGCTTTATAAAGATATAAAAGCAAAACCAATCACTAAATTTTAATAAAATATGTTCAGTTGTGCCATGAAAATTTTCTTTACGTCTTTCTTAATTTATATTACTACAATGCTGGCAATATTGTGGAATATACAATTAGCATCACCCTGTTTTCCAATGTCATTGAATGGCCACACTCACACAGGAAACACAGAAAAATATAAGAAAAAGGGGGTCAAGATATTCAGTGACACTTTTTTATATGTAAATTGACAATGTTACAACAAAAGCAGGGTGACCGAATCTACAATGAAGCAAAAACACTTATGCAATGGCTTTCCTGCCAGAAATGCACACACATCACAATTTAAACAAGCATGTGAAGCACTGAGTGTGCAAACACTGTACTTCCCACTTCCAGAACTCAAGTCCAGCTAACATGGGGCATACCTTATACCTTTGATATACTTTTCGAGAGTTTATCTACTCTCTAAGCCCGGACATGGACCAGGCTCGTCTGGTGCTTGCCTGGTCAACCAGGCTGTTGCTGCTGGAAGCCCACTGCCTCACATATCCATCACAGCCTGGTTGATCTGGCACCTGGTGAAGATACTTGGCACATGACTATTTAAACCATACCCCGGCCGGGATTGAACCCGCGGTCAAGAGTCTCAAAACTCCAGCCCGTCGCATTAGCCACTAGACCAGCTAGCCACAATAAGATTCGTCCAACTAGGTATATTTCTACACCATAGGAAGGTTAGCACAGGCACCACTGTGACCACAAATGCAAGTTTTTACAGACGAATCTCCAGCTAGCGTGGCCGTGACGAACTCTAGCTCAAGTCCCTTCACTGCCGTCAACATGACTCATGACTATATTTATATCTTTCATACTTAACACAAACATAATGAACTAGTAACCTGACACACTAGCAAAATATTCACACTTTTATTTCATTAACCTCACTAATTAGATGTAAAGTACAATTGTATACACAAGCAAAATGTCATAGTCCATTAATTATTCCCTCCTGTTCTCTCCTATTCATAACCTCTTGTACCATATTCACACACATGATGTGTTCTCATACACTTATACTTATGACCACCTTCTGGTCTCTTCACTTTTGACTCTTCAATTTACTTGTATACACATTTTTTCCTCCACTCTATCAATAATGTGTTAACCAAACCAACCCATCATAGCACTATTACTCACTCTCTCAACCCACAGACATTTACACTTCAAAAAATTAAAAACATTTCCCTGAATATGCTAATACATATGCACAGTATTAGTCCCTCCCTTGACTTTACTTGATTAACAGTCACTCCACTTTATTCTTATGTTTAAATTGGCATTTGTGTCATGTCAAAGCATTAATTAAAACAAAACTAATTAGTACTATCCACAAGCAATAATTTTCACTGGATTTACTTTCTTGCTGCTTCCTTAATAAACTAATATTAACATGACCTGGATGCTACAATAACAAGAAGTTGTTTTAGATATCATAGGTAATGTAGAACTTATAAGTAGCTAAAGCTATTTATAACTTTGAAGTTCAAGTAGTTAACTACCTGTAATTCGTATGTCAACTCTTTAAATAGTTCATGCTCAAACTTGTGTAAAAAAAATAGAGAAATATAGAAAAAAAAAGAGAAACAACTGAATAAATAATTAAAATATTGAAACAATGGTGAATGTTAAGTGAGGTGCAAAGCCTGGCACGGTGGAAGGCTCAAGTGTTAACTGAGCTAATAAACAAATGAGAAATCAGTGTTATAATAAACTTGGGTGGCACTTTTCATTATTACTAGATCATGATGTCTGTGCTGTTAAGACATCTACAGTGAGAGTAATGATTTATGTTTTTTTCTTTGGGTCCCAACTATCTATGTTATAGTAGAAAATAGCAATGTGCTAAAAAAAAAATCCTCTTCATATATTGTACTGTATCTACTTTCTGAATCAGGCACATTTACCCTGTTTTACACAAATACCTACACATAGTCTGTCAATGTAAAAGTATTTTCACTGGACATTCATAAAAAAATTAAAGCAAACTGTCAAAATTAGCAAGCTCTAAAAGCATATATTCCAAGGGATTACTATATAAGCAAAAATTCACATACAGCAGATACTGTATTTACAAATATTTACTGTATATCAAAGGTTCTCAATCCAGGATAGGATATACCTTAAGTTTTCCAAGGGGGGGGGGGGGGGGGAGAGAAGGGGGGGGGCCAACAAACTAGCTAATATGACAAAGACTCAGAAATCTAGCACCTTCATTGTTTATCTATTTTTACTTACAATTCAGCTAGTGGTAGGGTCAAAGTTTTAATGAATGTGCCATGATATTAACTCATTTTTTATATGAAATGATATACAGTGATCAATTTTTGTAGCCAGTCTGCTTTGTTTTTTTTTTTTTGGTCTATGGAAGAAAGCATATCAATGAATAAACATACATTAAATACTGTACATTCATTTTTCTCCCCAAGTCACAATGGCAATTAATAAAACCAAAAGCTAAATTCAATTATCTCAGCAAGGGTATTCTCTCATAGAAGATTGAAAACTCTTAATTCATATATCCACATGCCCCAAAAGTTTGGCTATTCATGCAGATGTTACAGATTATGTACCTTTACAGTACATACTTACAAATTATTTTCAAAGTGACACAAGTGCAACTCACACTTGAAAAGTCTTGTTCCAGCGTGGATTCTTTGCTCCGTTTACGTCTGTCTGTGTTTCATAGATGTAATGGCCGAGCCTCACTCGCACATAAGGATCCATTCGAGTCATACCATAATTCTTATTCAAGACTGCAGACACAACTGTCATCTGGAACAGTATAAATATTAAAATGTAATGGTAGGAGGTAAGAGACTGACCTTAACACCTAAACTGTGGCATTCCCCTAAATAAAAATACCTGTGTGTGTACAAGAAAATTTTAAAGAAAAACGTAATCTTTTTTCTTATACATAGAATGAAAGAATACTTTTCTGAATCGAATAACACTAAAATAAGTGGGATCTGATTAAAGAATACTTACAATTTTATGGACTTTTTTGAAGCTAGTGAAAAAAAATCACTCGTCAGCAACAGCGGTGTAAATGTGTAAGCAATATTTACATTTTACAATTTATTGATGCAAAGATATGATTTTCTGTTTTTAAATTACTTTTAATGTTTAACACAATGTACACTAGTTTCTTATATTAGATGTGTCTAAAGATGTTTTAGCACTTCAAACATAGGAAAATGCTTAGCCTGACATTGCTCCACTTAGAATGTATGGTATATGTACAGTCTATATATGGTATAATTGTTTTTAATCTATTTCTAATTTACCATTTTGGTCTTCTAACATTATGTACAAGGAATACTTATAACCTTACAAATGTTTTAGAGTGTAATACTTCTCAAAACATTATCTGACTTTACTAGTGTGTTTTGTGGCTGAATTCATTTGAAATGAATAAGTCATCTTTGTGCAACCTCCACACCTTGTTTGCTGATAGAGAAGCTGGTGGTGGAACAACAGCTCCTCGTTTCATTCTTTACTTTTGCTAGTTAAGCATATTAGTACATCACACACATCAAGCCAAAGTACGTAAAAGTATATTTCCACATCAAACACTGTTTATACAGAAATGGGTGATGCTTTAATGCATGCAGAAAGTCCATGGCTATGCAGAGCATTTCGGGCAAGCCTAAGCTTAACTTAAGACTACAAGGGCAATAAACATTACATTTTTTTTTTCAACAAACCAGCCGTATCCCACTAAGGCAGGGTGGCCCAAAAAGAAAAACGAAAGTTTCTCTTTTTAAATTTAGTAATTTATACAGGAGAAGGGGTTACTAGGCCCTTGCTCCCGGCATTTTAGTCGCCTCTTACAACACGCATGGCTTACGGAGGAAGAATTCTGTTCCACTTCCCCATGGAGATAAGAGGAAATAAACAAGAATAAGAACTAGAAAGAAAATAGAAGAAAACCCAGAGGGGTGTGTATATATATGCTTGTACATGTATATGTAGTGTGACCTAAGTGTAAGTAGAAGTAGCAAGACGTACCTGAAATCTTGCATGTTTATGAGACAGAAAAAAGACACCAGCAATCCTACCATCATGCAAAACAATTACAGGTTTCCATTTTACACTCACTTGGCAGGATGGTAGTACCTCCCTGGGCGGTTGCTGTCTACCAACCTACTACCTATAATAAACATTACATACATTTATGTATTTAAATTTATTAAATGTATACAAATAAGTATTTGATGAATGTATATGTAAGTAGGTTAAATATATTACTTTACATGATTATAAGAAAATTATTAGGGTTATAATCTAGTACAGTAGTTTATAGGTACAGTTTTCTTTTAACATTAGTTGACATTTAATTCAAGGCAATAAATATTACATCTTTCTTTCTTTCAACGCACCAGCCGTATCCCACTGAGGTGGGGTGGCCCAAAAGGACAAACGAAAGTTTCTCCTTTTAAATTTAGTAATATATACAGGAGAAGGGGTTACTAGCCCCTTGCTCCCGGCATTTTAGTCGCCTCTTATGACACGCATGGCTTAAGGAGGAAGAATTCTGTTCCACTTCCACATGGAAATAATATTACATATATGTATTCATCTTTCTTTCTTTCAGCACACCGGCCATATCCCACCGAGGCGGGATGGTATTTATATGTATATTTATTTAGGGTGCATAGGAGAGAAGATTACTTCCCAGTAAAAGTAGGCCTTAGACATGGATGTGTAATGTTACCATGGTTGTTTAACATATTTATAGATGGGGTTGTAAAAGAAACAAATGCTAGGGTGTTGGGGACAAGGGTGAGATTAAATTATGGGGAATCAAATGCAAAATGGGAGATGACACAGTTACTTCTTGCTGATGATACTGTGCTTTTGGGAGACTTTAAAGAAAAGTTGCAAAGGTTAGTGGACGAGTTTGAGAGGGTAGGTAAAGGTAGAAAGCTGAAAGCGAACATAGATAAGAGTGAGATGATGAGGGATATCAAACATTTTAGGTAAAGAAAAATTGGATATCACATTGGAGGGAGTATGGAAGAAGTGAATGTGTTCAGATATTTGGGAGCTGACTTGTCAGCAGATGGGTTTATGAAGGATGAGGTTAACCATAAAACTGATGACACAAAAAAATGTACATACTAGTAATTACAGACTCATACTTAGTCTCCTAGGTACTAGTATGTTGGTCACAGATAAAGGATTAATAGAGAGAAAAGCAATAGCATAGTGTTATCACTGACCTGAAGCCTGCAGACATTTTGTTGTGACTGTGCATACATCTGGTGCTGGAGGTGCATAGCAGCTACTCGATCAGAATTCTCCTGTGTTAATGATTGTGTCGAGGGTAAACGTAGAAAGTCATTAGGAAGGGTTCCTAGCATCACCTGAGACAAGGAAATAGTTGTGAGTTTATGTGCACTTACTATTACTTGCAAGAAATTTATGCTACAAGTCATAATAATGGCATTAAATTGTAACACAACAGATAATATTTTTACCTATACAGTACAATGCTAATTACTATATGGTAATGGAAAAAATTATTGTCTAGTACACTAAATTAATAGTGTATATCTGTGATATGCAGAGACCAGTTATGACAGTTTTCCTCCCTTACAGCAAACCTGGGTCCAGGATTTTCTGCTGATTGCTTGTTCAACCAGGCTGTTGCAAAAGGCATTCCTGAATAATAAATTTTTCAGGCTTCAAGTTTACCTGGAGTTTACCTGGAGAGAGTTCCAGGGGTCAACGCCCCCGCGGCCCGGTCTGAGACCAGGCCTCCTGGTGGATCAGAGCCTGATCAACCAGGCTGTTGCTGCTGGCTGCACGCAAACCAACATACGAGCCACAGCCCGGCTGATCCGGAACTGACTTTAGGTGCTTGTCCAGTGCCAGCTTGAAGACTGCCAGGGGTCTGTTGGTAATCCCCCTTATGTGTGCTGGGAGGCAGTTGAACAGTCTCGGGCCCCTGACACTTATTGTATGGTCTCTTAACGTGCTAGTGACACCCCTGCTTTTCATTGGGGGGATGGTGCATCGTCTGCCAAGTCTTTTGCTTTCGTAGTGAGTGATTTTCGTGTGCAAGTTCGGTACTAGTCCCTCTAGGATTTTCCAGGTGTATATAATCATGTATCTCTCCCTCCTGCGTTCCAGGGAATACAGGTTTAGGAACCTCAAGCGCTCCCAATAATTGAGGTGTTTTATCTCCGTTATGCGAGCCGTGAAAGTTCTCTGTACATTTTCTAGGTCGGCAATTTCACCTGCCTTGAAAGGTGCTGTTAGTGTGCAGCAATATTCCAGCCTAGATAGAACAAGTGACCTGAAGAGTGTCATCATGGGCTTGGCCTCCCTAGTTTTGAAGGTTCTCATTATCCATCCTGTCATTTTTCTAGCAGATGCGATTGATACAATGTTATGGTCCTTGAAGGTGAGATCCTCCGACATGATCACTCCCAGGTCTTTGACATTGGTGTTTCGCTCTATTTTGTGGCCAGAATTTGTTTTGTACTCTGATGAAGATTTAATTTCCTCATGTTTACCATATCTGAGTAATTGAAATTTCTCATCGTTGAACTTCATATTGTTTTCTGCAGCCCACTGAAAGATTTGGTTGATGTCTGCCTGGAGCTTTGCAGTGTCTGCAATGGAAGACACTGTCATGCAGATTCGGGTGTCATCTGCAAAGGAAGACACGGTGCTGTGGCTGACATCCTTGTCTATGTCGGATATAAGGATGAGGAACAAGATGGGAGCGAGTACTGTGCCTTGTGGAACAGAGCTTTTCACCGTAGCTGCCTCGGACTTTACTCTGTTGACGACTACTCTCTGTGTTCTGTTAGTGAGGAAATTATAGATCCATCGACCGACTTTTCCTGTTATTCCTTTAGCACGCATTTTGTGCGCTATTACGCCATGGTCACACTTGTCGAAGGCTTTTGCAAAGTCTGTATATATTACATCTGCATTCTTTTTGTCTTCTAGTGCATTTAGGACCTTGTCGTAGTGGTCCAATAGTTGAGACAGACAGGAGCGACCTGTTCTAAACCCATGTTGCCCTGGGTTGTGTATCACAAAAGCACTTGGAAGTTCACTATTTTTTCACAGTCGTTGTTCTGCATACTGTGATATCACCTGTTACGGTGACTGTGATCTTATTGCTTAACTTGTTCTATTGTAATACAGGTCAGCCATCACAAATCCGGCAACACTGGGACCTGTAGTGTGCCAGATTATAGTCGTTAGGTTAGAACACACTTAATAAAGTTAACCAACTTGACTTACACAAGAAAGTTCATTGAACATTGGCAAATATCAAACATTTCTGTTACTCTGAGCTCAATTTCAAGGTACTTTTTGTCATGAAACCAATCATAAGAATATAAGAACATAAGAAAGGAGGACCACTGCAGCAGACCCACTGGCCCATACTAGGCAGGTCCTGCTGCAGCGGTCCTCCTTTCTTATGTTCTTATGATTGGCTTCACGACAAAAAGTACCTTGAAATTGAGCTCAGAGTAACGGAAATGTTTGATATTTGCCGATGTTCAATGAACTTTCTTGTGTAAGTCAAGTTGGTTAACTTTATTAAGTGTATTCTAACCTAACGACTCTATAATCTGGCACACTACAGGTCCCAGTGATGCCGGATTTGTGATGGTTGACCTGTATTACAATAGAACAAGTTAAGCAATAAGATCACAGTCACCATAACAGGTGATATCACAGTATGCAGAACAACGACTGTGAAAAAATAGTGATTGATGAATGAATCTCAACACGGTTTTACAAAGGGGCGTTCCTGTCTTATGAATTTACTAACTTTTTTTTCACAGAGGTGTCTGAGGAGGTAGATCATGGTAATGAATATGATATTGTGTATATGGGACTTCAGTAAAGCTTTCAATAGAGTTCCACATCAGAGGTTATTGAGGAAACTTAAGGCACACAGAACAGGAGAAATTTTTTCCTGGGTAGAGGCATGGTTGACAAATAGGCAGTAGTGTGTTTGCATAAATGGGGAGAAATCAGAATGGGGGCACATAACAAGCGGTGTTCCACAGGGGTCAGTGTTGGGCCCCTTATTGTTCACAATTTACATAAATGACATAGATGAGGGAATAAATGACAACATAGCAAATTTGCTGAAGACAACAAAATAGGCCATCCAATTCATTCTAATGAGCATATTAGAGCACTCCAGGACGATATGAATAGACTGATGCAGTGGTTGGAGAAGTGGCAGATGCAGTTTAATATAGACAAATGCAAAGTTCTAAATGTTGGACAGGAAAATAACCATGCCACATATAAACTAAATAATGTAGACCTTAATATTACTGATTGCGAAAAGGATTTAGGAGTTCTGGTTAGCAGTAAAGCTAACAGAATCCTTCGTTTCATATCAAGAAGCATAAATAATAGAAGTCCTCAGGTTGTTCTTCAACTCTATATATCCTTGGTTAAGCTTCATTTAGATTATGCTGCACAGTTCTGGTCACTGCATTACAGAATGGATATACTAAATGCACTGGAAAACGTAGAGGATGACTAAACTCATAGCTATTTCTTTAGAACTCCATTTGTTCTATCGACTGAGTACAAGAAACCACCCATTTACTGATTTCAACTACCCAATAAAGTGGTCAGAAATTGGCAATTTGGCCAATTTCATGCAAATTAAAAAAGATGCCAATTTCAAAATAGGGTCCAGAATAAACAGTGTAGACATTCCTGGCACTAAAATAAGATTTTCTCTGTTCATTAGTCATGTCTCCAGGCCCCTCTTATATTACTCTTGCTTTCTATTTCGAATTTTTATTCACACAAAAAATAGAAGATTTACTCTTATGCAGACTACTGCATTATTGTAATTGTATAAATAATGTCAACCCATTCATGACTGCATATTAGAATGGCTAGTTGGACACTTATTAGAGGCTGGCGTCATTTGTTTACTCTTGAACATTGACAAAAGTCGAACATTTACGCTACTTTGAGCTCAATATCAAGGTACTTTTCATTGTGAATCCAAGCAAAATCATCTCAATTTTTGTAATATGTCTTACATTCTATAAAATGAGACCAGGAAAACTAGAATACAACCATAAATACCATACGAAAATACACTGCAAAATCACTGTTTTAAACCAAAAACACGGTCAGAGTTTTTTTTTTCTCATTATGCACTGTGTGCTGCAGGAATTTTTTTATACTGTGCACACTGACCACAGACCCATTCTTTCATATGTAGGCCTACCAGCTTTCTCTCGCTAGATTTGAAAGCGCTAGAATTTACGTGTAATAGTACGGCACCAACCATGGCGTGCAAGCCGTACTAGTATGGCACCGACCCTGAAAGGGTTAAAGAGATATTTTACGAAGTCTTTGTTCTCCTCACTTTCATCATAATGTCTTATTATGATTTGTTCATGGGTATATTTCATGCGAATAATCCACTAGACTCAAGTCACATATCCTATGGAATATAGAAATATTCCACTTTACAGCAGTAGCCCAGAACCTAACCTGCTGTACAAGCAGGGCCCTCCTGTAGTTCTCTCGTATTTTGTATCCAGTTCTCCTGAGTACTTTTTTTTCCATATCTTTCCACTTTGCATCATGTTATTTTTCAGTGCTCGCAAGAAAAATTAGTTGACATCTGCTTCCAATTTTTGTCTTCTGGAGAGGTTACTCTCATGCTCATTGCAGTACATATAACAATTTCATCAAACCTTTAAACAGAGCAAGAAGAAAAAGTTGAAAGTGGTACGTAATGTCCAACAATATAATTCACATTTTACTAAATTACTATATTTCTTATCCTTTATCTGTCTTGGTCCTTAACTCTTTATTAATCACACAAGATAATGGCAGATAAAATTTTAAAAATCTGCCTTAGCACAGTATAACAGATAAGCACTTCATAAATTTTTAGAAAAGGAACAGCAACCAACACTACTACTTACCACACTTCTATATCTTGCAGACTGATGGCTTACATGATATCTTCTCCCTCTATACACATCAAAGGGGAATGGGAATGGAATCGGGATAAAGAGAGGAAAGAACATTTACGAATATCTGGCTGTGCTGTATATAGAAATATAAGAACGTATGGTAAATCTGTAACAACGCTAGCAACTGTTATGCAACTGTTATGGAGCACAAGTGAAACAAATGGACACTCAAATTTGCATGGGGGAGGGGGTACATTTCTAGAAGTCATGTTAAGATATAAATTCTAAAACATCAAATAATTTCTGCTCAGTAAATTATGTTTTTGAAAATATTTGTTTGTTGTTCATGGAACTGTCTATTATGCTAGGATCATGGACAATAATCTTATATCTATTTACCATAAACATCATTATTAGTCACCTGCTACCCCTACAAATCCATTTAACTGAGGGGTTCATAAATGTGATCAAAATTATTTTTGTAAGACAGAATGTTTAGAAAGTAGTGGGAGTGGAAACTCAATGAGCACATTTTAAGTGAAATCTGTTGGTTAGTTTTCAATTTAATGGTTATACACCAAGCCCCACAATTTAGGGGTAGTATGCAGTCCCAGAATTTAGGGGTCATACGCTAACCATCATAATCAAGGGGTAATGAAACAAGCCACAACAAAATGAGTCAGTGTGGTGTTGTTTCCTGGTGAGTGAACATTACCCTGCGGGTTCATATGAAACATTTCGTAATACATGTACAGTGGACCCTCAACCAACGAAGGCATCGTCTAACGATAAAATCACCTAACAAAGTGTTTTAGGGTAAAAATTTTGGCCCAACCAACGATGTAAAACTCTACTAACAACATTCATCCCGAACGCATCCATCTGGCCTGAGCGCCTCAGCTCAGCTAGTGTGCCATTGTTTACAAGCCAGGGTGGACAGTTGCACGCATACATTCGATAAATTTTGTATTACATTTTTTTAGTGCTTGTAACTGCTAAATAAGCCACCATGGGCCCAAAGAAAGCTTCTAGTGCCAACCCTGTGGTAAAACGGGTGAGAAATACTATTGCACCATGGTTAGCTGCTGCTGCACCACCGTCAGCTGCTGCTGTACCATGGTCAGCTGCTGCTGTTGCTGCACCACCGTCAGCTGCTGCTGTACCATGGTCAGCTGCTGCTGCTGCACCACCGTCAGCTGTTGCTGCACCACCATCAGCAGCTGCTGTACTACGGTCAGCTGTTGCTGCACCACCGTCAGCTGCTGCTGTACCACGGTAGCTGCTGCTGCGCCACCGTCAACTGTTGCTGCACCACCATCAGCTGCTGCTGTACCATGGTCAGCTGCTGCTGTACCACCGTCAACTGTACTACTCGAAGATGTGGAAAGTGTTGTTGGTGTGCCTTAACGAGAAACAATTACCGAGAAACAGTTAACCCCAGAGGGCTAGCCACCCAGGATAACCCAAGAAAGTCAGTGTGTCATCGAGGACTGTCTAACTTATTTCCATTAGGGTCCTTAACGCTCTGACTGTTTCGGTCGTATATATACGTCTTACGAGCCACCATTTTTGACATATACTGTATACTCATAAATTCTAGCGGCTTCAAATCAAGCAGGAGAAAGCTGGTAGGCCCACATGTGAGAGAATGGGTCTGTGTGGTCAGTGTGCACCATATAAAAAAATCCTGCAGCATGCAGTGCATAATGAGAAAAAAAAGACCGTTTTTTTTTTAATTAAAATGCCGAACCATACCACGGGCGGGATTTGAACCCGCGGTATGATTTGTTTGCAATCGTGTAATTACGATTTCGTGAGTCAAGTTAAAATGCCGACTTTGTGGTCTATTTTTGTATAGGATTTATGGCTTTATTCTCGTTTTCTTGGTCTCATTTGATAGAATGGAAAACATATTATAGAAATAGAGCTGATTTTGATTGGTTTTACTAGGAAAAGAACCTTGAAATGGAGCTCAAAGTAGGGGAAATGTTTGATTTTTGCCGATGTTCAAAAGTAAACAAATGATGTCATTTTCCAATAAATGTCTAAGTAGCCATTCCAATATGCAGTCATGAATGGGTTGACATTATTTCTACAATTATTACAATATTGCAGTAGTCTGCATAACAGTAAATCTTCTGTTTTTTTGTTTGAATAAAAATTCAAAATAGAAAGCAAGAGTAATATCAGTGGGGCCTGGAGACGTGACTGATGAACAAAGAAAATGTTATTTTAGAGCCAGGAATGTCTGCTTTGTTCATTCTGGACCCTATTTTGAAATTGTCATATTTTTTAATTTTCGTGAAATTGGCCAAATTGCAAATTTCTGACATGTTATTGGGTAGTTGAAATCAGTAAATGGGCAGTTTCTTGTACTCAGTCGATAAAAAAAATGGAATTCTAAAGAAATAGCTATGAGTTTGGTCGACTGGAACAATGGAATTAGCCGAAAATAGGGCTCAAAGTGGGCGAAATCGCCGATTCATAAATATCGCCGAGGTTGCTAACTTCGTGAGCGTAATTCCGTCAGTTTTCCATCAAATTTTGTTCTTTTGGTGTCATTACAATCGGGAAAAGATTCTCTATCATTTCATAATAAAAATAATTTTTTTTTTTGGAAATTTTGCGACACCAGGAGACACCTCAGGATTGGGGGTTGCGAGAGTCAAGGGGTTAATCTTGTACCCCAGGATGCGACCCACACCAGTCGACTAACACCCAGGTGAACAGGAAAAAATGACTGGAACTAGTGCTCATATTGGTGAATTTAACCCTTTCAGGGTTTCGGACGTACTAGTACGGCTTACGCACCAGGGTTTTTGACGTACTAGTACGCCTAAATTCTAGCACACTCAAATCTAGAGAGAAAGCTGGTAGGCCTACTTATGAAAGAATGGGTCTATGTGGTCAGTGTGCACAGTATAAAAAAAATCCTGCAGCACACAGTACGTAATGAGAAAAAAAAACTTTGACCATGTTTTTGGATTAAAACAGCGACTTTGCACTGTATTTTCGTATGGTATTTATTGTTGTATTCAAGTTTTCCTGGTCTCATTTTATAGAATGGAAGACATATTACAGATGATTTTGACTGGTTTTACAATGAAAAGTACCTTGAAATTGAGCTCAAAGTAGCAGAAATGTTCGATTTTTACCAAAGTTCAAAAGTAAACAAATCATGCTAAGTGTCCAATACACATCACCTGGTGAGTCTAATATTCTTTCACAAGTCAGGTATACACAAATACAGTTACATAGATTATCATACATAGCAGCGTATGTATAGACAAAGTGACTTATTTCCAGTACCTGGCTTGGTCTTGTCATATATGATTTTTGGTAAATACAGTGGACCCCCGGTTAACGATATTTTTTCATTCCAGAAGTATGTTCTGGTGCCAGTACTGACCGAATTTGTTCCCATAAGGAATATTGTGAAGTAGATTAGTCCATTTCAGACCCCCAAACATACATGCACAAACACACTTACATAAAAACACTTACATAATTGGTCGCATTGGGAGGTGATCGTTAAGCAGGGGTCCACTGTATTGTTTTTCTCGGTTGTTTGTTGGGCTTTTCTCGGTTGTTTGTTGGGCTATCTCATTGAAACTTGGGCAATGTATGATGGAAAGATGCTTCTTAACGTACAACAAAAATAAAAAAGACGGACAATAAATACGGGAGTTTACTTCTCAGCCATTAGCCGCCTCTTTGCGGTATATTTTCGCATGGTTTTTATGGCTGCATTCTTGTTTTTTGGTCTCATTTGATAGAATGGAAGATATATTACAGATATAGACATGATTTTGATTGCTTTCATGACGAAAAGTACCTTGAAATTGAGCTCAAAGTAGCAGAAATGTTTGATTTTTGCCGATGTTCAATGAACTTTGTGTAAGTAAAGTTGGTTAATTTTATTAAGTGTATTCTAACCTAACAACTCTGTAATCCGGCAAACTCAGTAATCCGGCACACTACAGGTTCCAATGATGCCGGATTTGTGATGGAGGACCTGTACTTTATAGGGTATTTCTGATAGTTTAACTGGTGGTTTCTCATGCTCAATCAATAGAGCAGAAGGTATACTAGTGAAATATTAGCTATGAACTTAGTCAAAATGGAACTGGATTAATCCTTTCACTATCCAGACCCCAAAATTAATAGATCTGTGACATTTCTTTTTTAATTCAAATGGTATAGAATCCCTTTCTGTAGATAAATGACACCAAGAGTACGTAATTTGATGGAAAACTTACAGAATTATAGAACAACAGAGTAAGCTGTCTGGACACAATTTACTTACCAGTGATTTCACCAACTTTGAGTACTATTTTAAGCCAATTATATTGATCCATTCAACCAAATTCTTAGCTATGTTGCTAGCATGCCTTCTATTTTATCAATTGAGCACAGAACAATCAGCCCATTAAATTATTACAACTACTGTATACAGTGTGCAGAAGTTGAGTATTAGTTGCCTTGTGGGTTCCTTACACCAATTACCCATGTTCAACTAGCAAGAGGTATCTGGGTATTAGTTGCCTTGTGGGTTCCTTACACCAGTTAGCCATGTTCACCTAGCAAGAGGTACCTGAGAATATCCATTAGGACTTTTTATTGACCTAAAAAAAAGCTTTTGACACAGTAGATCACAGCATCCTACTCCACAAACTTGACCATTATGGTATAAGAGGCCATGCACTTGCACATTTCAAATCCTACCTTACTAATAGGTATCAGTATGTCACCAATAAAGACACAACCTCATCAACATTGCCACTTGATACTGGAGTACTACAGGAAAGTGTCCATGGTCCCCTGTTCTTCCTCTTATAAATCAATGATCTTCCCAACGTATTACAACACCTGAAACCCATTCTCTTTGCTGACGACACGATTATGTCATCTCCCACCCAAATCTTGCCACCCTCAACACCATTGTTAACGAGAAGCTACTCAAAATATCTACTTGTAAGTAAACTTACACTTAACACTGACAAAACCTTCTATATTATGTTTGGTAACAGAACAGGTGTTGCACAGCTTAACATTAAGATCGACAACACTCTTACTGCCAGACATAATGAGGGCATATTCCTAGGCCTGCACCTTGACAACAACCTAAATTTCAGCACCCATATCCACCACA